ACCCTCTGACAGGCTTCTGACAACATCTGCAGAGAGGTACGACAAACACCGCGCACACAAGATCTTGTATCATAAGATTGGCTGCTTGAAGGTACGCTTTTCAAGTCGCCACTGTCCTTTGTCTAGTCACCAGTTGTTGACTCTTGAACTAGTAGTTCCTTGGCCCTCCTTGGCCCATCCGAGTGGCTGTCTAGCTTGTTTGGGTTGTATCCTTCTATCTATCACATTTCGATCTAGTTCAACCTGCGGATGGCGGTGCATTAGCGTGGTACATTTCCCTCCGTGCATCTATCTCCTCTTCCACGTATTCATGGCCGAGGGAGATGGGCTGGACGTGGTGGATGGCTTTCTTATTAAGCGAGATCTGCTCTATGCGATCTCGTGCGCTGCCAACCATCTAATTCGAGGAATGAAGGCAGTGCGTGATAGCCGGAACTCAGGCCGTCGATTAACTGTCAAGGCTAGGCACACGAGTTCGAACGAACAAACGACTCAGATACAAAAACCGACACCATGTGCCTTGTGAAAGACCCGTCGTTCGCCCTACGCCCGCATCTCCAAGTGTATTGAAGTCAATGTGCAGCAAATCGCCTTCCATCTTAAATGATAATGTTTTGCAGGGTCTCTGTTGCAGTGGATTTTCCGCAGAGTGTGTAGCCATATGCCCTAACCAGGACCTGGCAGGTCTCGGCGTTAGAATTGCTTTCTATTTACAAAGCTTCATGAACGGCGAGTCAAGATTCATTACGGAAATTCTACCAACTCTGAAATTGTCTTTACACACTGCAGCCCTTCTCGTGGTATTCTCTCCCACGGACTCGCTCCCAACCGCGTGGGCTGGTACTTTGTTGACGGCAGCACTGATTGTTGCAGCAATAGCACAAAAGGCTAACGGGAACCTCACGCTGCACCATGCTACTCTCGTTATGAAGTAAGCTATCTTCCAGGCTACACGACGATCTTCGACACTGAAAACTTCTCAACTTAGCTTTGCCACCCTATCGTGCATCAGCTCACTAGCGGTAGCTCCCATGCTCCCAATCTGGAGGCTGACTCCTGGCGAGTACTACGAAAGTGAACGTGCTCGTCATGCGTTAACACGACAGGACAATCAAGCCCCCGGCAGGCTCAGTAACCTCGTCGCTAGCAGTGTCTATTCTAACGTACACAAGAGGGATGTGAAGGCCGCGCAGAAGCGAGCTCGTGTCGTCCTCTCTCTTGCTATACTATTGCAGGTATGGAAACTAGTGCATTATCTTCTATGATTTAGCTCATCTCAAGGAACAGGTCATACTGCAATGGGCTTGGGGTATCTACCTTTTCGTCTCACCCTTATACAGTCAACCGGAATGCAGCGGTTCGACTGTCCTGTTTATGTTCCTTCATTCTTTTGATACTTCCACGATCAACAACCTGGATAAGAGCTATCATTTTTTCGTTTGGCCATTCTGGCTTTTATTCTGCCTTTTCGTCACCCTTTTTTTAGTTGTATTTCTTGCCTTGTCGAGCCCGAACCATGCGAATCCAAATCCGTCTACATCTGGGTATTCAGGTGGTACTGGAATATCGCCAGCGACTCCGGTGGTTATTGCATGGGCCCACTTGGCCGTTAATGTAGTGCCATCTCTGAAGGATAAAGCGAGGCAAATCACATTCTGGGTATATATTGCCGCGTTCTGCCTGTGGGGCTTGTTCATTTACAGTAAGTCACAGTCTGTATCAATCAGGGAACTAATTCAAATTCATCGACAGGTACTGAAATGCAGAAGAGAGTTAATTGCGTATTCTCTGGTGAGAACAGTTTCGGCGGTCTGGGTCAGGTACGTTACCATCAATAGCAGATCTTTGCGTATGACGGTTGACGCTGTTGTGTGCTTGAAACGCAGATTACGGCAATCTTCGTTGCCCTAGCACCATTATGGAGTCTCTCTGTCGCTCTCTACAAGTATCCAACTCTTCGCCGCAAACAGGAACATCACAGACGGGACACAAGCGAAGACCAGGAATCAATTTCCTCACAGGAGGAGCACACTGCCCTCTTGTATACCCGACATCACGCCCCTATGCCTTCAGAGGATACAGCATATTCTCACGAATCGATTGAAATGCACCGTCTCGTCGCCATCCCGCAGCCTTCACCCTCGTTTCCGGTACGCAGTAGGCACAGACCAAGTCAGAATACACCTGCGAGGGAGTCGTCGACCCCACACGGCAGCGAACGAAAGAGGGGACGTCTGGCGACCAGGGGAACTGCCGCTGCTGCGCATGTACGACAGCCATCTGAGGTAGCTGCGCCTCATTCCGATACTGGGCTTATGCACTGGATGGATATGAGTTTTCCGCCGGAGAGCTGATTAGTACTTCCTTGTAATTTTTTGTATCGTTGTATTACTTATAGAGACGATTCCTCTAGATTAATTCTTATTGATTCCGACCGTTTGTGCAGTGCGGGATCTACTGCACTTTATTGAAGATCCGGCGAACCTGGGCTCCTTCTGGCAAAATACTATGGTATATCTCTGAGCGTGTATTTCCTACCCTACCCCGCTTCCGTTTGTGGCGCTCCGGCACCAACAACACCGGAGCGCCCAACACTACTAGTCAAAAGCGATAATTGATGCTGTACACGCCGGCGTAACTGAATTTCACAGGTTCTCCCCACAGATCTCCACAGATGGCAACTAATAACCCTGTTGTCTTGACATCTGAGGCCAAGATTTCCATTGATGCACCCCAATTCCCCGCCTCATCACTAGTAGTCACTAGTACAGTCCAAGTGACTCGATCATTGACAGGCTTTTGATGGCTCTGCCTCCGTTCGACACCGCCCTTCGACTCTCCAGACTGCATGTATCACTCTTGACCTCCAACTCTCATCTCTTGATTTCTTTCATGCATCGTTCTTGCATTCATGAACCAGCCCCACGCAATCCAGAACCTGTCTAGTGACTCTATTCAAGCATGCACCGGCATAATGCCTAATCCGGACTTATCGGGAATTGGAGTTCGAGTGGCCTTCTACCTGCAGAGCTTCATGAGCGGTGCGTATTCTCTCGGTCTCGAATTTGGTGCAATGTTCATATTTTATTGTAGGCCTTTTGGTAGTATTCTCACCAAGGGACTCTGTACCGACTGCTTGGGCAGGAACGCTTCTTACAACTGCCCTTGTCATTGCAGGCATGGTCGGAAAGTTTTCAAACCCGCCGACCCTTTCTCTACATCATGCTACGTTAATCATGAAGTAGGTATTCTCCATGTTTGATATAACCAATTCTGTGCCATACTTACATGCGCTTTAGTTTTGCGACCCTCGCTTGCATTAGCTCTTTAGCTGCTGCGCCGAAGCTCCCAACCTGGCGGCTCAGCCCTGCGGAGTACGTCAAGCACCAACGAGAGCGGCACATCGTTTCCGGCCGCAGTAGCCTACCGTTGACGCGGGAAGACGATATTCTTACAGCTGCATTTGACCAGAACGCTCATAAGTTGCATATTCGGAAAGCTCAGAAGAGGAGCCGCCTTCTCCTTTGTATCGCGCTTCTTCTCCAAGTAAGTACTCATATTTTATTACGCATTGGAGGCTGTCAACACTTTGTGTTAGGTCGTGTTTCAGTGGGCCTGGGGCATCATCTTGTTCGTGTCTCCCTTGTACAGCCAACCGGAGTGCAACAACGACACGAGACTCGTCTTATTCTTATACCCTTTCGACACCGGCAGGATTAATAACCTCGACATTTCTAGAGGCTTCCTCGTTTGGCCTGCATGGTTGCTATTCTCGCTCGGCAGCACCGTCTGCCTTACAATCATACTTTCCTTGACTGGTCCATCCAGAGCCAATGATCCGTCGTCGCATGGAACGTTTACGGAATCAGCTGGGACAAACACACCCGTTGTGTATGCCATGGGTCGCATCGCTCGTGCACACATCATCTCGTTCTGGGCTAGCAAGCGCGATCGCAAGATGTTCCTCTTTAATGTACTCGTCGCCATATTTTGGATGATGCTCATTGCATGTAAGCAATTTCAAACAAATTTATCGATTAATTCAAAAAACCTGATACTTTAGTTCTCAGCCTCTGAATGGCAAAGGAGTGTCAACAATCCCACACCAGGCGAGAATGACTTCAGTGGCTTCGGGCAGATTACGGCGCTTCTGCTGTCTTTGGCACCAGCCTGGAGCCTTACAGTTGCATTTTACAAGTACCCTTCGTTCAAGCGCAAGCAAGAAAGCCGTAGGCGAATGAAGAGCCGCCGTGAATGGCACCGACTTTTACCTGCTTCGGGAACTATGGAACCCGGGAACCGCGTTCGAGGATCGTCCAACTTGAACTTGAATGCCACACCGTCCTTAGAGGCAGCATACGAAATGCAACCTCTAAGATTAGGCATTGTTGATAGGCATGAGGGGCCAAGTGACGTCCTCCGGCAACTCATGACACACTAGGCGGTGGCAAGAGATATAAACTCTGTGTTTTCTCCTTATACATTTCCATCTCCGAGTCACTGTAGTACCAGATCATAACACCTAGATTCAATTTAGTAATACTTATTCCTGTATCCTCCAATTAGTGTATACTACTATATCATCATACTATTCACGAGCAGCTTACAGCGGACACTTGAAGTTCCGCGCACAGCACTAGTAGGCATTTGCACATCGGATTGATCACTCCGACCGCTCAGGAAAGAAAATAGGCTCTAAAGATGAGTTGATCGCTCGGGAGTGGTTCATTCGCCCCAGGCGTGAACGCGTGGACAGCGATAGTACTTATTTACATTTACATACTGTAAACTCAGTAATGTTTGCAGCATCTACTACTAGTAGCTGAATCTCGAGAGGTTTAGCATCACTCGGCCCTGAGCTGCACAAATAGGGGTTCGGCCAATCGTTCCAAATTCAGCTGTAAAGGCAGAAAAAAAGAGGAGGGAGGCATATCTGGCGGTCACAAGGAACAAATTGTCCAATGTCAAGTATTTCGTGGAGCGAATAAAAAATCAAAATACTGCCCCAGAGAGGGTTGAACTCTCGATCTCCCGATTGAGTTAATTGCGTAACACGTGATCACACAACCTAACAGTCGGACGCTTTGACCAACTAAGCCATGGGGCACTTGAAATTTACTTTGGTACAATATATATAATAATGCTGCTCAGCACTGACCTCGGGAGGCGGCGGGTTCAACAAGATTTGCTCCGCACAAACAGCAGACACGACAACCACCACCATGCAGCCATCCCTCATTCGCCGTCAGCTGGGCGGGCTTATTCCCCCAAAAGTTGCTACACCGACCATCTTGGTACGCGTCTTGTCGCTGCGTTCTCTGCATTCTCTGAGTTGATATTTGTTGCAGTCTGCCGGATCCGGTGCAGGTCTCTCACCTCTGGTCAACTTCTACTCCAAGCTCCCGAAAGGCCCTGCACCTGCGTCTGCCAGCGGCGGTATCAAGGAGAGGTTCTTTAACGGAAAGAACGCGTCTGGAGCACCCTTGGTGTGGCTCATCGCTGGTATCTTTGGCTTGGGTTATACTATCGATTATCAGAGTACGTCTCCCATATTTTAACTCCTGGATGATTAATTGACGAACATTATCACTGTCAGTGCACTTGAGTAAGCATTATCTCCTTTATATACTCCACAAGTACTGACTTACTACTTTTCAGAGCACCACAAGAACCACCAGCACTAATCGCATCGCGAGGGATAGGACATATGTAGAGCACGTAGAGAATATCTGACGAGCGATGTGTATCAGGCATGCATGAAACGCGTTGTCCATCAATGGAAACACTGGTATTGCGGCGATACTAAAACGCCAAGTGATGTGAAAGCTGCAAACCGTTCTAGGTACGCGCATACATACACCTACCAAACCCCGTATTGGTTCTGTTGGAGTGGCAGAAGCTCCCTGCATTTAGCCGGATTAGGGGCTCCGTCGCAGCTGAAGGAGCCGGAGCATGCAAGTATCAGCGCCATGTATTGATCATATTTCAGTTATTGAAACGTATAGGTCCAATCCAATGTAATTGTTAGCTGCAGGTTGGAATTAGTGAGTACCTCCCTTCCATAGTCAGCTAAAATAAGATGCTCGTGCAATGGGCAACTTTTCCCCCGCAGAATCTCATGCGTCTGCTGGACAAACCTCTGGTTCTTTCATCCTGCTACGGCAGTGCTTTGCACTAGGAATCTAGTCCTGGGATTTACACGATCTTGCGCTCCCACTGTCGCAATGCGGTGAGTTTTCATCTACGCGATGGGTTATCGAAGTCATATTTGCATTGTGCTTCTTTCTCTATGCTTGTTATCTACGAGCCCTTATCTGTATCTTGCTGCCGCTCCTTCTGTTTTTATTGGCGGGTATAGAACGGCCTTTCCGATGAGGGAGACCCTTTTGCTACCCAAGGCAAGCTATTTACACGAGGTCTTGCTTGCCTTTCTTTCATAGGAATCTTTCTTTGTCATATCCCACTATCTCCGTGGTGACGGTTCCTCCTTTCCATTATTGCGAGACCAATCTTACTTTCTCCGTTATCTTGACGTCTTCGATTGCAGAAGGTTGCCACGGACAAGGCATGTAAGGTGTTCATAATGTCTTTGCGATTAATGACGCCTTCAGGTCTACCTATTAGAAGATGCAGGGTTGCTATATCAATGATGGAAGAGCTTCTCGTCAGTGTCCCTGACACGTTCAGTCCATACGCATCAGAACTCCACTGCTTTCTCTTGTGAAAAAGGACGATCGTGGTACTTCCACGTCCCGTCCGACGCAGCTGGATAAGCGCATACATCTAACCCGGCTACCCGCGCGAGCTTAGTTCATTCCGCAATGGTCGGACCAGTTTGAATTCGCAGTCTTTCGAAGCCCGGAGGCTATCGAGTCCGTCATTCTTGGCGTAAAAGTCCTTGGAGCCATTAGCACGACATGGGTTAGTGCATCGATTGCTTTTGAGTCGACATATCTCGCTGATCGTGACGTGATTCAAGTCTAGCAGCCGTCAAGCACCCTCGGGGACCCCGTTTATGTCAGTTGAAGGCGATGCGATTCGTATTCGACCATGCCAGTGTCAATTCTTGCCCTTCAATGATGGAGCTTATCTCGCACTAGGCTCTCACGATTCCAACTTGTCCTTCAACTGACTCAAGCGAATGCGTGTCAGCGTGGGTCATTGGCTTTTACCCAAGCCGCCGAAAAGCGAGCGGACTTCTCGCCGAGCTCCCTGAACGCTACGATTCCGAAACGTACTATCCTTAATTTTACAAGGGATTTGGCTAGTACGCATAAGCATGTTGTGGTTGCTTGAGCGCTGAGCGCCATGCAAAGAGGATATAGAACAATGGAAGCACCGCCCTGCCTTGCGTATAACGCGTGTTTTCCAAACCCCCTGGATATCCTCTCACCTCGCCCGATTTCGGTTCTTCAGCTTACTAGCCTTCAAGGCTGCGTCATTAGGTTCTGCCCATCCTACCACCGTATTTGTTTTTCCAATTAGACCCAAACGTGACCGATCACGGGACGCGTCTCCTCGCACCCAACGTTACCGACGACCATCAGAATATTCGGTCAATCAAACTAGTACCTATGACTTCTCGGCATACCAATCTCACTTGCATGCTGCGTGCTACTTCCATGCATGCCGAAATTTCGGGACGGAGATAGGAACGTTGGCCAGGTGAGAGGCCTTTTGAGATATATGGGCGAGTAGCATTGCGACTAATATGATACACGTAGGATGCAGCTAAGGTATAACGACAAGCGTGAAAGATGATGATATGAATAATGCGAGGCCGATCTGTGCGGAAGAAAAGCTGGCTGAGAAGAGGCTGCGCCGTCGTAGTGGTCACACTGCACTGCAGAGACCAAAGGGAAACGGGTGGTAGACGCTTTCATGACGGCAACGTTCGTGCTGCTGCGGCCCGACATTGGAAACAATCGTCATTGACGGCGTCGATGTCTTTTTGTACATCAGGTCCGAAGTTCTGCGTTTCATTTTGAACGTGCATCAGTATAGGAAACGCTGCAGGGAAGCGGTATGTCCACCCCCGCGGACGACGTCTACTGACCGGTATGCACGATTTGTCTTTGCAGCTTTTGTTGTGCAGGATGCTGCGTTCACATTTACTTGAATTGCAGTCCATGATCGCTACGACCATGTGCCGTTGGAAATGCTGCCGAAAAGTGGCAATCAATGCTCTGTCCACACGGTCAGTGAAGCAGACAAGCATCATACCCCACATTTGGTCCAACGCGTTCCTTCACTAACGATGCAATATTTTTGAGCCTCGGAGATACCTCTACACGCAAGAGCGACTTACGCGATTCGTCTGCACATCTTTGCAGGATTTTGCTTAAGCTATAGGTGGTAAATGGATATACAAGCAACTGGTAGGTTGCTGACAATGTTCGGAATGTCTACGGGTCTGAAGAGTGCTAGGTCGGGTGCGGGGGGGGATGCGGGTGGAAGTGGGATGTGTGGAAGGTATATAAGGGGGAAACGAGGGGCTATTTCTTTGAAGCCACTCGTCCTTTATGCGAAGACGGTTATTTAGAAGCGCTGGAGACAAAATCAGAATGGCCAGTCTACCGCATGGGGCCGCCTTCGTCCTTGGGACTTATCGTGAGACACTTCCTGCATTCACTCCGCAGGGCCGCTAACCAGCCGTCTTTTGCCTTTACCGCAAGCCCTCTTTTCGGGGGATATTTCTGATTGGGCCATCATGTGACTCATCCGGAGGAGGAGGTTATCGCAAAACGGAATGAACAAGTCCGCTCCGTGTTCTCCTTTCGAGATATAACCGCATGTTCTTTTCTCTTCTTTGTGCGGCATTGTGCGCATGAGAGACAATGGGCTAGATATGCGAACCGAACGACTGGACTGTTTTCACTGTTTTCCGTATGCCGACATGTATGTAGTCGTAAACCGTGTACACACTCGCGTGCGCTATCAGAACCCATAATTCCCCCCTGCGTGCCTCATGTTTCCCCCAGAGTAGAGTTGCTGGCACGGGTCAAAAACATATGCGGCAGCGATACTATATCACTCAAAATTAGTGAAGAACGTTCAACCACTCGGTTCCTGATTGCTGCGTCGGCTCTTTAACTTTGAAAACCTTGGCCTTGTATTGTATTTTGAGTTTGCGAAGACGACTCTCTCTCTCTCATATTACACTAGTCTGAGTCAACCGTCGAGGAGCTCATCCATAGCCATTATGGTGCCTACTTGCAGTAAAATCACCGCATCTCCTACAGAACCGCCCTCTCATTATTTTCCGCCAGTCTGGTATGCTGTGACGTCGTTCTGTTTTACGACGATAGTGTTGCCATCGGATCTCAATTCCATTAGAGCATTCTTCATTTATTACTTCTTCACATCCCGCGGCAGAGCTCGGACAATGTTCCGTGTCCGAGCCGCATCGATATCGAAGTCGTTTGCCTCTTTCGTGTGATCTGCAGCATCGATTACACTTCTTGCTCCCCGGATCCGAGCGGAGAGTACACACGAATTGAAGCTGCTTGATGTTGTCTTATTGGAATGTACACACCTGTGTGAGTTCAAGATGTCAGGCGAGTACTAGTATGAAGGAACCACTCGGGTCCACTGAGGAACGTGCACCACACGCTTCACTCAGATTGCGCTGGGAGAGCACTTGTTCCAAGACACCACTCGAAAAAATTAGCAGGCACCCAACAATGCAAGATATCCCGACAGGATCCGCATGTATCAGTATCGTATCCGATGTCATAGGATTACGGATTTCACGTCAGCGGATGTACACATCTCGCAGAGGATTTCACTACTTAATATCAGTTCAAACTCCTTTTCACTCTGCAAAACATGTTACCAGACGCGCTTTGGTCCATGCTTTGGCATGGTGTCCAGGAACATACCGTGCCATTGTCCGTATTCCATGCTATTCCATGTCGCCGAGAGCACAGACAGAACAAAGACGCATTCTAGTTCTCACTAGCGCACCGGCCTCCAACCCATGCCGGTCTCTCTTTACAAAGAACTGGCAAACGATCACGGCACGGTGCAAACTCAATATGGAGGTCAGCTGGTCTCATTTGTTCCACAATCACGCCCTCGATTATTTGCAAGCTTTCAGAGTCATGG